TTATAACTTGTATATCTTGGGCAATTAATTCTTATTTGTGCAGCCTATAGGCTATATCCCCGTCACGTCACGTATTGGCTCCGTGCGTTTGAACCGAACTAACGTTAGGCTAGGGTGTTGCTCATAAAGTATTCGAAATCAAGTGTTACACCGATTAATGGCTGAAGGGGGTCATTTTAAAACTATTTAGCGCTGCTGTTGAACAGTGAGTATGCCGTTTCCATCACTCCAATGCACTTCTCCATTTCAATCCCTTACGGTGGAGGCACGCATGCGCTGGAGTTTCCCGCTGACAACCTGGAGGCAAAGCTGATCGCCGCTCTTTTTCAGTTCATTTCACAAAGGTAAGGAATGTTATTTAATTTATAAATAAAAAAAAAAAAGCCCGTTGTAAATTGTTCAAATTGTCTACTTTATCTAATAGGCGTCATTTAAAAACATACTAGTTAACGGTTGGCTATAAAACTGCTAATCCTTTCATGTAACCTTAAGCAATATTTTTTGTAGATTAACGGAGAACTAGCAATATTGTTTAATAATGGCTGTAGTCAGTGTCCATACACACACATTATATAAAATTACACGCGCTCCTTCTTAGCCGAGGGCAATTATTATAATTACCAGAAAGTGCAATCAAAAATACAAACGTAAACAAAAATATCACGTAGAAATAGGCAGAAAACGAAATATTCCTTCCTAGCAGCAAGTAATAATTCCAACAGCAGATCTATAAACAAGTATTACGCAGGACACTCATGTGCAGCCGTCTGTCTCTTCTGTTGACTAATCGCTTGACCCATATTTGTTGACTAATCGCTTGACCCATAGATACATATTTGTATGTATTTTTTTATTTAAATAAAGTCCCTTGAACCTAATTATTTATCATAAGTAACGTTACACATTCTGTTAGGAGCTGTTAAGATTAAACGGTCATAAACGCGATTGTACAGAAGTCCTGAACTTAGATTATTTTGATTTTCTTCGGTAAAAAATAATACACGATCGATATAAATGTTAGATATTTTGGTATACAGAGTTAGCATTCCACATTTCTATTAACATAATTTTTGCAGAGTTATTAACATTATACTTTCTGGTTAGAGCCAATAAATGTGTATTAAAACAATAGTTTTTTTCACTCTTGAGCAAGTCCTTAGTTTTTATATGGCCTAGTGCCAATTTTTTTTAATGATATTCAGCTCCAACTAATAGCTCAGAATTAATATGTATGATATATAAATGTTTGACTTTAACACATTGGAATCAAAAGTGATAAGAATCAGAATTGATAAAGATAATCGAAATTTGAATTTAAAAAATAATAATAAACGATAACCAACCCTACAGCCTAGTTAAGTAAAAATTATTAAATTCTTTAAACCTGAAATGCAAATAAAAATTGTAAAATTAAAAAGAAAAAAATCAGATAACAGTTAAAATTTGAAATGTACTCGTGTCTTTTTTTAATAGGTGCAATGAAATGGAGCTGTAAAGTCTGCAAATATAACGCAACGACAAGGTGTGACCTCGTACGACATTACAGACTACAACATTGGTCATCTGGAACCTCAGTGGCGTGTCTCCATTTGGATTGTCCATGCTGCTTTAAAACGTGGACTGCACTTCGCACACATCTGTCAAGGTACCATACACAAGATGAAGATAGGAAGCCAGAAGTAATCCTCTCTTAAGTGTGTGCTTTGCTCTAGTATATTTACCAATGAAAAATAATATTTTCAACATCTTGGAAATCATTTGAAGAGTCACGAAACTATAGAGTGTGTGTTTATTGGATGTGCATTTAAGACAAATATATATGGGACATTTTTTACACACAAAAGCGGAAAGCACAACCCCCATTCACATGAGGACTTTAAGCCAGATATAATTGGGAAACATTACACTTTACAAAATGATACTGATTTGATCGTGAGTGATAATAATTGTGAAGACAGTGGACCAAATCAATCAATAGATGCCTCAAAAGAAATTATTAGAACAATTGGTTCACTTCTTTTAAAGTTGGAAAGTGTTGACAATGTTTCTAGTAAATGCATTGACGAGCTTGTCCACTGACAGAAAAGCTGAGTCACTTTCATTTTGTTACTGGATATCCTCCTGACATACTCCATGACCTTTTTGAAGGCATATTTCCTTCAGAATTAGCACTTTGCCTTTCTGTTTTCATTAACAATAAGTACTATGCGCTTCGAGGCCAAACATAGGTTCTTTGAACGAGTAGTCAGGTTCACGGGTAACTTCAAGAATGTTTTGTTGTCACTTTCAGCAAAGCATCAGATGATGATGGCCTACCATTGGCAGAAACATAAAAGCATGTCTACCCTAATTGTCAGCAAAGTGTCATCTGTGCCTCTGGAAGTACTAGATGATAGAATCCAAGAATCTGTTAAGGAACTGTTCCCTCAGCTAACCAGCATACAGTTGTCAAATGCTGTAACATACTATGGGACACGATATTCTGCTGGAATGATCATCCCATATGGTTCCACTGGAGGGCTCCCTGATTTTGTAGATTATACAGACCGTGATTTTGGAAACCAATCTCTACTTCGTTGTGAAGAAACTCAGTGCCTGGTACCTGGAGCATTTTAGGTCTTTTCCATTAGAAAGCAGTGGGGAATTGATTTTTGTTCATCACCATAGCGTTCAAGATCATTATCCATTGGCATCCTATATTGTGGAGGGAAAGCACATGGTTACACCGAAAAGACACATTTGTTGCAGTTTACCGTAATAGTAAGTAGCTTTATTGCTAAGACAGCTGCATTTGTGTAAGACAACTGTAATTATGTGAAAACTTTCAAACTTTAGAACATTTGCATTTTCAAAGTAGCACAGTCTGCCATATCGATCACCAACACAGTTTTCTATGAGTGTCAGTGACTTTTTTTTTTTTTTTTTAAGGTAACCAAACATGGATTCAGCAGCCCTCAGGGTAGTCTTTGACCACAGGATAGAGAAGCTAACACTGCCATCTGGAATACCAGAGTCCTTGGAGGAGTTACACTCAGCTGTCAAGAAGGCTTTAAATATTACAGATGATATCAGTCTTCAGTATATGGATTCAGATTTTGAAGACTTCTTCACTCCACGAATCAAATTCAACACAGATCCACCATAAAGGTTGTGACAGTCGCACCAATAGTTCTTACTTTGTTTCCACCCAACGAAAGTTTCACTGGCTGTGATATTACAGATCAATCCCTTGATACTACCTCCTCCACACGTACTACCATACAGCACTCCTCTGACACATCAGATTCCTCTGCAAGCACAGTCATCCTGTCTCAGAATAACAGCCCAGAAAGGAAACCATGGCCAAAAGAATTCATCATTCCACACTTCTCTGTTGAGACTGAAATGGTTCTTGAAAGAGCCAATGAACTTTACAGAAAAGATGGGACAGTGCTAACTACCCCAAAAGTCAAGTCAGACATACTCGAAAAGCTGGCTCAGTCCATTTACACATACAGTGCATATCCATCCACCCTTCAGATTCTTTCCGTTGCTGAAGCACTTATAAAGGCGCACCCATGTCTGAAGGATCGAGGGAGCTTTTCAGGCTTTTATGCATGGCAGACAAGCATTAAATATAAAATGGCTAACTATCGAACGAAACTCAGAGGTTTTGGCATTTCTGAGGTCACATGCAACGCTCTAAAACACAAACATCCAGATGACAGGAAGTCTGCGAAAAATGTTAAAAGGCCAAGAAGAGCTGAAGTCAACTACCTCCCATCGTACCCAGTGGGTGAAGATGAGAAGACTTTGGAAAAAGAACGAGAAGAGCTGGTGTCAGAATTTAAGAAGAAAAACAATGAAAGGATGATAAAGGAGAAGATGAACAAAACATTTGCACATCGTCGACACGAAATCATTAATCAATGTCCAAGTGTTCAAAACACAAAGGAACGATGGCCAGCCCTGTTTCAACCTTCTCAAGTGAGTTACCAATCATGTTTAGAGACCAAAAGGAACATAATGTATCTGAAAACCCCCTCTCAAATCATTATATGAAATTATTTGTTCTCTCATTCCGTATTTCAGGTGATTGCTGAATTTCAACGAATAACCACTGTGCAGCTGGAAGCTAAATTAATGTCCTCATTGGATCTTCACACTCCCAAGCTGCTGACACTGTTTCGTGGCAAAGGAGGAGCACTTGGAGAAAGACTGAAAACTGAGATGGAACTACTGAAGGTACAGTTTATGACGCATGCAAGCCAGTTGGTTACTTGTTGTTTATGTAAGGGTGAGAGGAATTGTTTATTCTTGTATTTTTCTTTATGATCAGCAGGTAGTACTTCCCCCTCTACAGTGAATTAAATATTAAATGTGATGATAATTAGGTACTCAAACACAAAAGCTGACAAATGCATTTGTGTGACAACAGGAGGTTGTTTTGTTTCCTTGAGTTAATTTCATGGATTTTCAAAGAAAATATTCAATAAGTCATGTTTATTTATATACAAGTTCAATTTCAATTATAGTAACAACTTCAGTTTCATGTAAATCAGCTGTACAGAGGATAATAAAGTGCTGTTAAGTTGTTATTCAGCAACCTCTGTTGATAGATTAATTTATAACATTTACAAAAAATTTACTTAAGCAGTTTTTTAGCCCAAATGATCAAGCCAAATAGTGAAAGTAGCAAGGAACAAAGTATTGTGGAGGCAAAAAAAAACTTGGGAGAGGCTCTGAAGAGCATGTATCATTAATTAATTACTTAATTTTTTTAGGATGAGCAGTGTTCTGTTGATATGACAAGAGAGGTGGTCATCCACTGCATTATAGAATTCCTTGGGGAACATGCAGGAGACCTCATCAAAGAATTCAAAGTATGCAATCTCAATTTCAATATACCAGAAGTGTGAATTTATATCAAAATTTTTGTTTGTTTACTTCCTGAAGAGAGGCCATGATATCGTTGATTGGATTTTCTGATCAAACAAATTATTGAATTTTAGATCTTCTCATAGGTTTTGAGTGTCACTGCTGTTTAATTTTGCAGGACAATGAAGACCAGACAGGAATTGAACAGCTTGTGATGGCAGTAATTGTGACCAAGACAGGAGCTTCCAGTGACAGTCCAAAGGACATTGGAATTGTTGTTGAGGGTGCGAAAGTTGTTACAGGCCTTGAAGGTGTTCCCAGGGCTTGCTGTGTCCTCCTTGGTTTGACATATGCACTGAACCTCCATTATCCCAGGCATCTAAAGTATACCTTTGAGGTACTTCAGAAACTTTTCTTGGAGCTGGATGCTTCAAAGCTGTCAAACAGAGTCCAGTCACTCAGGTCTAAACTGCTGTCTTAAAATTAGATGGTGGTATCTGTTCTGTGGTTCCATGTTGCCAAACGAAGACCATTTGAACATTTTGTGCCTAGAAAGACAGAAATGCCAAAAAAGTTGTTCTGCAAACTTGAACTGTTCTCATCCTATGTGAAAACATGAACAACACGTTGATAAAGAGTAGTGATGTTCACTCTGTCATTGTGATTGTGACCAAAAAAAGGAGCTTCTACAAGTGACTGTTCATTGGACACCAGAATCAAGTTGACTAGGGGTGAAATTTCTTACTGTCCTTGAAGGTGTTCCCAGGGCTTGATGTGTCCTCTTTTGGCTTGACCTACTGTATGCATTGAATCTCCATAATCCAGGCCTCCAAAAAAATGTATGCTTCACAGCTGTTAAACAGCTCAGTCACACAAGTCTACACCGCTGATTTAAAAATGAGATTCAGATTTATTAAATCCAGATTACTAAATACTGCTGTTCAAATCTACACTGCTTTAAAATGAGATGGTTATTGGATTAACAAAGTCCAGTTGTTCAAATCTACAGTTTTAAAGTGAGATTAAAGTGTTATTACTAGTAGTTTCTACAGTGGTTCAATGTTGCTGAAAAAGATGTCAGGTTTTTTTTGTGTGCTAAAACAATGTTTATTTTAAACAATGTAACTGCATTGTGTATTTTAAACAATTTGTACCTAAAAAGAAACTTTGTTCTGGAGACTTGAATTAATATGGAATTTATATTATATAGAAGGTAACTGTGGATTAAAAAAAAAAAACAGTTTGTTCTGTTGAGAGACTAGTGAATGTTCATTATTAATAGATGCTATTGTGACTGTTGTTGGCAATAAAGCCGAATTTTGTAATTCATCTTTAACGTCTGTGTCTATTATTCATACCTGAAATCATATTAATTATTTTAATTAAATGTTATTATTAATTTAAATTAAATATAATAATGCTAAATTATTTGTTTGTGTTAAATCAAATTAATTCCTTTAAGTAGTATTCATTAACAGTGCTCCAATGAAAACAATATGTTTGTTTAAATTTTACTTAATTTTTTTTGTGTGTGCTATTTACACCTACTTAATTTGAATGGCTAATTTTTAAGGACCTCTTTTGATTAAATCTAACTCAATTCTCAATTGTTGCTGAATTTAATTCATAATATTGCTTGTAATGTGTTGCCACAATTTTATTGAGTAGATGTAGTGTATTATTTTTTACAGTGTACTGTCAATCAATAATCGTGGGAGTGGCCTGGGTCTGTGTGACGTCACACAGACAAGAAGCTGAAAACGGCTTGATTTGTGAAAGGGGTAATGATTTTAGGAGATAAAAAAAAAAAAACACTGGGTGGATTTTTATCATTATAGGGTGGTTGTGTACAAGGCTTTTAAATGCACGCTGTGGAGGCAAAGAACCACCTGACGCGAAGCTCGTTTAAAATCCTTTAATGCACGGCTAGCCGTTGATTATCCAGCTTATTCCATGGTCATTTGCCAAGTTATAGACAAGTTCAAACTAGTTTTGCTCTTTACAGTGCAATACTTGACCGGAAGGGTAAAAATGACTGTTATTTTCGTCAGTTATGGTTCATTAGCGCTAGCATTCTGCCCACTTCAAATCAGACACAGAGATGAAATAGTGCAGTAAGATCACATTTATTTGAATGAATTATAGCATTTATTTGAATTAATTAACAATCGATCGATTGAAAGAGAGAGAGAGAGATGCAACTGTGTGTGCGTTACCTGCGTCTGCGCGTCTCTCTACAAACAATCAAGTCATGTTCAGTTACTTCAAAAATAGCGAGTTTGCCACCTCGCTGCTGAGGAATATAATGTAGCGATCTAGTATCTAGGCTATTTTATTTTTTGACCTACAGAGCAGAGATGCTTTTCTGAAATGATTTGTATACAGCAGAAAGAGTTCATTTTGGGACAACTGTTTTTTACTTTCAGTATATTTGGTGTTTGACATAAACATTTCAACCCTTTTCTATGAAATATGCCACACAAATTGTGCTGTAGTGAGAATATTTATAATAATAATAATGTTTTATTTATATAGCGCCTTTCAAAAACCCAAGGACGCTTTACATAAAGTTGATCGATAACATGAACACCAATACAAATATAGTCACGTGATCAAACAAATAAAGCAGGTATTTGGTTATAAGCTTATTTATACTTGAGAAGAAAATTAGGCTAACAGATTGTTCTGAAAACATTTTGATGGGAAAATTATATTTGCATATATTATGCTGCATAAAACTGATTATTATTATTATTACCCCAAAAAAAAAAAACATGTTGCTGCCTGACGACGTTTCTCAGCTTAAATGATGGGTGTAAAATATGATATAGTCCAAGCTTACATGATGATGTATGTCTTACCTGTATATTTTTGTTTTCTTTTCCAGCAATCTCAACAATGGACTCGTTTCCTTCCTGTTTGGTGACTCCTGTGCTTGCTGTTTCTGTTTGGAGGTCATTGCATGTGTCTGATTGAGCAACTGTCGTTGTGCATTTCTGTTTGCAGTGCTTTGCTTAAATAAAAAAAAAAAGTCTTTGGAGTTTTCCATTTTGGTTGTGGTTGTACATGTTTTCCTTAAGGATATTAAATCATGGATATGTGCTTATGCGACAATTATTTCACGCTAAAAAATTAACCTGTTATAAACAGTACACAACTTTTTTTTTGAGCGTGCTATCAGGGTAACTTAACGTCAGCAGCCGTACGGGACAACTTCAGCAAACGTTTAAAAAGGTAAACTTTTCATAAAATGTAAGCATTACGAGATACACAGTGGTTACGGTAGCTAATGTCTACAAATATAAAAGTATAAATACCTTTTCGACCAACGAAAGCGAAAACTCAAGGCCGTGTCTGAGGAACACAGAGGACCGTTAACTGTCACTACGCAGCTGAGCGTTGCCATGGATACATATGCTGCTTGCCCTAAAGTGATGTCATTCGATCATGTGCTCATTTGATCGACGCTTGCTTTTAGGCACATTGGGACATAGGCTACATTACTTTTTTTTTTTGAGCTGCACGTGGTATAGCAGTCTTAAATGCAATAACTAAAATAATAATTTTCCTAAGTAACTTTTCTCGTCAGCTTACCAACAGTTTAATATGTAAATGGTAAGAATTCATTTATTTGTCTGACCTGTGTTATTTTCCACTTTCTTTTCTTCATGTTTTTCTTGGCTGCATTCTTCACTCTATAGCATTCCTGTAGAGCTCCTGGGATGCAACCTTATTTTCTTCATGCATGGGGAGTGCATAAACCTAATTGTAGCCTATATGTTCAATTATATTATTGAAGGGTATCATGATTTTGATGTTTAAATGCTGAAAACAGACTCCTGATTTGATTACATTTTTAATTACAGAAGTTACTATTTTCTTTTTCCAGAAATGAATATTAATTTAACATTAATTCAAATCTATTATACTATAGTAAAAAAAAACAAAAAAATCAATCTGCAAAACAAAACAAAAAAATAATTAAAAAAAAAACTGATAATAGAATGCAAAAGGCAAAAAACTTTTTTAAGGAATAATACCCTTTAAAGGGGTCATATGATGCGATTTCAATGTTTCCTTTTTCTTTGGAGTGTTACAAGCTCTTGGTACATAAAGAAGATCTGTAAGGCATGACGAAGCGGATATCGTCCTCTTTTGGAAGAGCAAACAAAGTAGTTTCGCTTTCACAAAGTCAGAACCAAAGTCCAGATGTGTGCAGCACATTTTATGGAGGACTGTTTACTGATACTGGGAGAGTAACGTTAGACTACAATGCCAGCAGTTCTAACTCATGTAAGTACGTTTTCATTTAAAGGATTTGCCACTGATGATTCAAACGCGAGTTTTGGGCAGTAGAGTAGCACTTGTTGTTTGTCATTTCTCCGATCACAAATGCAGACAGTTTTATGTTTACGCGGCGCGATGCAATGCAACGCAACGAGTAAAAAGACAGTATAAGTCATTATAATCCGTAATTATGTCCCCACTGGATGCAACAAATGCCTCGTTTGTAATGGGTTTTAATGTTTTTGTCTCGTCGCTCCGGCCGGGACACGGCATTAACAGTATGTGAGGGGCGTAACATTTCCGTCTCACGCTTGAGGTATTCGGCCAATCACAACGCATTGGATAGCTGACCAATCACAGCACACCTCGCTTTTTCAGACCGATGAGCTTTGTAAAAATCGATGCGTTTCAAAAAGGCGGGGCATAGAGGAGAAACAATAATGTACAGTATGTGGAAAATAATGTGTTTTTGAACTTTAAACCGCATAAACACATTTCATTACACCAAATACACAAAATAATGTTCTTTTTAGCAGCATCATATGACCCCTTTAAAATCCAATATGGGTTTATATTTAAGTTTAATTTAGTCAACTCTCTTTGTCTGAGTTGCAAGGTGTTAGGTCTGATGGTAAAAGCACACATGGGCGACTGGATTTTTTCAAGTGTTGTTATGGAAATGGCAGATGAGGGATGAAACCGGGAGTAAACTGGCTCGGACGAATGTCCTCCGCACGTCCGCCAGCGAACGTCAAAAAGAGGACCAAATGCGGACGTAAGTGGACATCCTCAAAACGTCCGCCAGCGAACGTTACACAGCGGACGTACTGCGGACCTAAACGGACGTTCAGAACGTCCGGGGGACGTCCCGTTTGCTGGGATGGAAGGGAAAAGTATAGTTAAAGAAGCATGCAAGGAAAGTGGAATATTTGTATTACAGGAAGGCATCTTTATAATATACAAAACAGTATTAGAAAAAGTAAATGGCTATATAGTTTCAGTAGAGAAGATCAGGTTATTTTAGCAAGACTAAGAATGGGACATACTAAACTTAATTCGACTCTTTTTATAATAGGTAAACATAGTACAGGATTATGTGAAACATGCCAAGTAGCAGGAAAATAATGAATTAATAAGAGAACTCTACAACATGGCAAAGAATTTACAATCGGAAATGTATTAAATACAAATCAAGGATCAGGAAAAATGATAAAAGAATTGTATTAAGAACAGAATATATATTTTAAAATGCACAGCTAGACTGAAATCACTTCACACTCCAGCACAGGAGGTGGCGATATGCACCTAAAAGCTGGTATGCAACTCGCCAATAAACCCACAGAAGAAGAAGAAGAAGTAGAGCAGCCCACCCCTGAAGAAGTCTTTGTCCTGACAAAAACAACACCGAATCAGCGATCAGAGAAGATCAAACAGAAGGATTTTTGAGTTTGTTTCTGAACAGCACATCTTTGTGATTCACTTTTGAAAGCATCGTTCAGAAAGTAAAAGTAGAGTTTATATTGCTGGGGATCAAACAGTGAGAATGGATTTACTAACTGTAGAAGATCTTTCTTGTCCCGTGTGCTGTGAAATCTTCAAGTCTCCTGTTGTTTTATCATGTAGTCACAGTGCCTGTAAAGAGTGTCTCAAACAGTTCTGGAAAACAAAGGAAACTCAGGAGTGCCCCGACTGTGGGAGAAGATCATCGAAACCTGACCCTCCTGCTAATCTCGCATTACAAAACTTGTGTGAGATGTTCCTGAAGGAGAGAAAAGAGAGGCGTTCATCAGGATCTGGGGAGATCTGCAGTTTACACAGTGAGAAGAACAAACTCTTCTGTCTGGAGAACAAACAGCCTGCGTGTGCGGAGTGCTTTACTTCTCAAAAACACGTCAATCACACAGCAAGACCCATCAGTGAAGCTGTTCCATCATATAAGGCAAGACAGATTTACATCTGAGGATAAAAACATATGGAAGAAATCTCTCAGTAACATTCTGCTCGTATTAGATGAACATATTGCAGAAGTCTCTGGTGTCTCATAGATTTTCCCTTTAAATTCTAGGAGGAGCTGAATACAGCACTGAAAGCTTTACAGAAGAAACTTAAACACAGTGAAAACATTAAAGGAGAGTTAGAGAAAACACTTCAACACATCAGGGTGAGGAAACAGAATCCAGAGTCATTTTCATTACGATCACTGTGGACAGTTATGATTTGCTAGATTTAATATAATAGATTCCAGTTGATTAGTTCTGTAAATAACGAGCAGCGATCTGTTTTATGTCGGTATCTCAGTTTATCTCAGATATGAATGATGTGATTGTGTTGATTTGTGTTGATTGAGACGGCGCTTGAAGTGACTGTGGTTTGATTTCAGTCTCAAACTGAGCACACGGAGCATCAGATTAAACAGCAGTTTGAGAAGCTTCACCAGTTTCTCAGAGACGAAGAAGCAGCTACAATCACTGCACTGAGGGAGGAAGAGGAGCAGAAGAAGCAGATGATGAAGGAGAAGCTGGAGGAGATGAACAGACACATCTCGGCACTTTCAAACACAATTAAAGACACGGAGGAGATGATGAAAGCCAATGATGCCTGCTTTCTAAAGGTCTGACTTGAGATCATCCATTGATTGATTGATGATTGATTGATTGAGTTGTTGATGATCAATGGTGTGTTTGTTCTGCAGGAGTTTCCAGTCACGATGGAAAGGTGAGTGATCTGCTGCTGTCTCTGGTCTCTCTGCTTCTGATCCAAAGCCACTGCCGTTCTGACTCCCGAATGCTCTTCCAGAGTCCAGATCTCATCACAGCTGGATCCACAGATGACTTCTGGAGCTTTGATTCATGTGCCGCGTTATTTGGGCAACCTGCTGTTCAGAGTCTGGAAGAAGATGCAGGACATCGTACAATACAGTGAGTCTGCAGAAGATCTGAGCTCACACACATTCAGTTTATCATGACACAAAAGCACTAGATTATTTCAGTTGTAAGTAAGTGAAGATTATACTACTTAATTAATATTACCCAATATTTTATGAGAATGCTTAATTTCTCTCTTTTTTTTTCCATCTGCTTAAGTCCATAACACACACAACAGTGTAAAGGTGAAAAGAAATGTGATTCTTCAGACTGACACATGGAAGCCTCTGGAGCACCTCAAATATAATATAGTGCTCAAGAAACTTCAATATGTATTTCAAGTTCCTCAAAGACTTTTCATTAATAAGGTTTTACTAGAGGAACTATTGACAGTCTCTAGAGTCCATGAAGAAAGTTCTTAATTTTATAAGCTGAGGCCAGATTCACAACAATAAGAATAACATTTTGTTACTATTATTCTCTGTTTTTAAAGGGGTCATATGATGCTTTTTTAAAGATCATTATTTTGTGTATTTGGTGTAACAGAATATGTTGACATGCTTTAATGTTCAAAAAACACATTATTTTTCAAATACTGTACATTATTGTAGGTCCTCTATGCCCCGCCTCTCTCAAACGCTTCGTTTTCTACAAAGTCCCTCCTTCCGACAAGCGCAGTCTGCTCTGATTGGCCAGCTGACCCAGTGCATTGTGATTGGCCGAACACCGCAAGCACTCGTCGGAAATGTAACGCCCCTTACCATAATCGCGAGCTCCATCTTTCAAAATAAATGTAAAGACAGTAATAATATCATTAGTTTTACCATCAGTTCAAGCCCGAAAGGAAAACAGACACAGTAATGATGCAGTACACAAGCCGCGGAGCTTGTAACAATCCAAAGAGAAGGGAAAACTTGAAATCGCATCATATGACCCCTTTAAGAGAAAACTTAAGAAGAGTTAATGTTGTAAAGAATGTTAAAAAGACTCTTCAGGTTGTTATGTTATTTTATATATATATATGAGCAATATCACACGAGTAGAAGTGAGATCAGGCCGAGTGCCGTAGGTAATCACAGCATGCCGATATACAGCCATATCTTACTTCTACGAGTGTGATATTGCGTTTATACAACAGTTTGATGGCACGAGTGTGTAAATAAATTAGAAACAACAATGGAGTGTCTTTAAAAGCCCTCTTTTGTGCAGAACTACTTTCTTCCGCCATAGATTTAAATCTAAAGTTGACCGTTTAACAGCTGAGCCCCAGTCTCCGTTACTAATTCCAAAATGTCACTTTAGAGCTAGTAACGAAGGAATGTTGAGTTGCTTCATTGAAAGCTTATTGTATTACTGTAGTAAAAGCTTGCTGTATTATGTAAAGTATTATGAGAGAGAGATGGACTGAGCGATTGTGATACCTGCATCTGATACAGCATCTCAGTCTCCTACACACAATAAAACATATGTTTGAATGTCCACTGAGGAAAGCGTTATCTTTGTCATATCGTCAATATCCTTTCATCTGTTAAGAGTGTGAGTTGCTTCATTGAAAGCTTATCGTATTACTGTAGTAAAAGCTTGCTGTATTATGTAGAGTAAAGTATTATGAGAGAGAGATGGACTGAGCGAGTGTGATACCTGCATCTGATACAGCATCTCAGTCTCCTACACACAATAAAACATAAGTTTGAAAGCCCACTGAGGAAAGCGTTATCTTTGTCGTATCGTCAATATCCTGTCATCTGTTAAGAGTGATTTCTGATGACAGCGCTGCTCAGTGCATTTGTTAGCTGCGTCGTTGTTGAAAGTAAAAATAACTTATTTTTCAATGAAAAAGTCTTTACTGCAGTACTGACTCATAAAAACAGTCTCTTGTCGCCATCTAATGGCGGGACAATGTAACTAAAATCACCATCATGAACACTCGCACCATGTCTCGGTAATAAATAATATTTTATATAAATATTAATAGTATTTAATAATAGTATTTATTGAATATTAGAACCGTGTCTAGGGACAAGCGGGCCATCACACTGCTCCTTATCAGCCCATTTGTAGCTTATTCGATTCGCTCTTGAACAGCTAATCACGATGATCTTGTCTTCGGAAAAGATTATTTTATTTGCTTGCGTCAGAAACCGCAAATCTTTTTAAAAACTGGCTGTTGTTCTCGCTACATTGCATTTGGCGAGTGTTAATTTTATGCCCTGTGTATATGTGTATATATATATATATATATATATATATATATAAGATTTTCCACATAATGATTCAAGTACATGTTGTATTAAACAAGCCAACCTCATGAGTAGAATAGTACAATCAGAAAACTTCAAAATCAGACATTATATTCTATTAGAAAATGTTTCCTAAGGAAATTTTTGAGAACTTTTCAAGAACTTCTTTTCAGGAATTGCACTTAGGAACATTCATAAACATCTCAGAATTTATTGTAGCAATTATTTCTTAAGGAGATTTTCATGAATCTTGCCGTTTTAAAAGGGTTTCTAGAAGAAGTGCTGCTTCATGTATTTAGATTTTTCCAATGAAGAAGCACAATGATGAGCATCTGTTCAGCTAATGATGTGTTTACCAGAAGAACCTGCTTCAAGTACTCACACCACAGAGATTTTAAGCTATCTTACAATATTACAATGATTGATTATTAATGACTAAATCAAACACAACAGACAGTAATTTTTTTAAACAATCACACACACCAAGAGAAGTAAGAGCCAGTTCAATGAACATGATCAGATTCTGCTATAGATACGGAGTTTCATACACATTTCTTAAAGTTATAGTTTTTCATCCACAGCAGAGAATCTCAGTGGGTCTGATTGATTGATTCTTATTTTAACCTTCCCAAAATATCAGTTTTTCTTACTTGCTGGCATTAAACACTGATAATAAAACGGAGTGTGAAACTAATAACAGCACTGACAGTGATCAGAAGGGAATGTATGATGTGTTTGAAGACATTTGAAGACAAATTCAAATTCATCATTTCACTTTGTATTGTATATGAACATCAGAATAAAAGCATCTGTTAATTGTGTCTCATCAGCTCCTGTGATTCTGGATCCAAACACTGCAAATCCATCTCTCACTCTATCTGATGATCTGACCAGTGTGAGACGGCGCAACTGTCAACCTCTTCCTGATAATCCAGAGAGATTTGACCGTTATCGCTGTGTTCTGGGTTCAGAGGGCTTTAACTCAGGAACACACTGCTGGGATGTGGAGGTTAAAGACTGTTCAGTCTGGACTCTCGGAGTAACTACAGCATCCAACCAGAGGAAGGGATGGGGTTTCTTCAACACTGATGGTGTCTGGAGTTTGCAGTACAATGTGACTAGACAGACTGGCTTTCCTGTTGGACAGCAGCTTGAGCGTGTGAGAGTGAATCTGGACTTTGACGGAGGAACAGTGTCATTCTCTGATCCTCTAACTAACACACATCTACACACATTCACAACCACCTTCACTCACACACTCCTTCCGTTCTTCTGGTGTTCTTCCTCTCTGAGGATCTTACCAGTCAGTAGCCAGTGATCGTTACTCTTGTAGGTCTGGATCTTCCTGCTTTCATCACATTTCAATATTTAATCTAGATCACATGAGTAAGAGTGCTGATGATCTGAATATCAGATCAGAAAAATCTTTTTTTTTTTCCAGTATTATATCACTGAAAGAGTTAATTCAACACATTTTCAGTTTTGGTTGTAAATGAATTTATTTCAGTTATAGAGGTTAAATGATCATGTATTCATTGAAGTGAATGGATGTAAAAGGTTCTTGCTGATCCACAACAATATTGAATAAAACAGAAATTCTTAGTATAGAAATACTTGATTCCAGCTGTTTATAAATCTGATTCTCAGAACAAATGATCTCTAGGACTCACTGAAGTCTGAAAAGGTTCTAAACAGATTTACATAATTAATTGTAACAATGTATGATTACATGTTTTCAGTGTCATTTTTAGATTGAAACATTATCTCCCGGGTTCACAGACAAGGTTTAAGCTTAGTCCCAGACTAAAATGCATGTCTGAGCTGAACAGAAAACAACTGTTTTGTCTCAAGATGCACACCAGTAATGCCTTTTTTCCATGCTTAGATTAGAAATAAAAATGTAAATAGAAATAAAAGCTGTATTAAATGAATGATTTAGAATGGAATACAGAAACCGTTATTCTGATGATATTGTCTTAAAATTCTCTTTGACTTCAGGTGAATTTATATTTGAAATAACTGAACATTTCTTGAAGCCTTGTCATTCAATTCAAGTTTATTTGTACAGCGCTTTTCACGATACAAATCATTGCAAAGCAACTTTACAGCAAATTAAGTTTCTACAATATTTAGTGGTAGCTTATCAGTGGTGACTGTCAGTCAATGTACATATGGCAGAAATGTATGGAAAAATCAATTAAAGACATAATAATTGCTGTTAATAGTGTTCATCGTCTGTTTGATTACATGATGCAATCAAACTTATAGCAAAATGTGGTAGTTTACGTTATGGTACGTTATGTTATGGTATAACATAATGTGTATGTTGTTTCAGGGTTGGCATCATCTGAGGTTCTCTGAGGGGTTGGCATCATCTCTTCTCAGGTGTTCTGGATCCAGACTGAAGCTTGTGTAAATCCTAGTTACCACGGGATGTCAATCCCGTGGCAAAAACAGAGAAACAAATAGAGACATAATTACCGTAGCTGCTGTTCCAACCAAGCAAAATTGATTTGTTTAACCCAAACTAAAGAATAATAATGTGCATTTGATCAGATATAATTGCAGTACAAGATTATGATATGCATTATTTAAATGCTTGGCCAACAAGATGTCTTTAATCTAGATTTAAACAAGGAAGTAACAGTACACCCGTCTAGTTGCAAATTGTAATCCAAGAGATTCTGTAGTACACAGAACAGTAGAAGCCTTGTAGACAGTACGTCTTTTGGTCCAATAAGTAATATCTCTGTCTTATCCGAATTTAATAGGAGAAAATTATTGGTCATCCAATCTTTTAAATGTTTAACACACTCTGTTAGCTTAGATAATTTAGAAGTTTCATCTGGTCTCGTTGAGATATATAGTTGAGTATCATCAGCATAACAGTGGAAACTAATCCCGTATT